TATCTATTAATCTATCTATCTATTAATCTATCTATCTATCTATCTATCTATCTATCTATCTATCTATCTATATCTTTATCTATCTATCATCTATCTATCTATCTATCTATCTATCTATCTATCTATCTATCTATCTATCTATCAATCATCTATATCTTTATTTATCTACCTATCTACCTATCTATCTGGACAGTTTTATAAATGTTACAAGCTTTCTTCTTGGAAGAAGGAAAAAAATCATATGTCTCAGTACTTGCTGTCCAAATTCAAATGAGTTGATTTTCCTATACAGCAGGGATGGCAAACCTTTTCGGCCATGTGGAAACATCATGCGCATGCACATGTGCGCTCATCAGGGCCGTGCTCCAGAAAAGCCAAACTCCCAGGTTCTGATGCACATGCGCGCCCAATGATCAGCTGGCTGGCACACACGCACATTCCGGTTTTCAGCACTGCTGCGCGTGTGAAGGGATCGCGCTCCAGAAAAGCCAAACTTCCAGTTCTGGCACGCATGCTCAACCTGATAATCAGCTGGCCAGCACGCATGCACAGACCGCACGCAGGAAAGACAGCTAATCCTCATGTGCACATGCAGGTGGAAGACAAACAGGCAAGGCCACGCGTGCTGGGCGACATGGCTTCGTGTGTCACTTTGGGCACGTATGCCATAGGTTCGCCATCACGGCTCTATAGAGTACGCTCTATGTAGGGAAACTTAGTTCTGTCTAGTATCCTGTTCCTCTCCTAAACCATATGATTGTTAAGATGGGGGGAGGGAGGATGTCACTGGTTTGAGGATGCTATTTAACTGCTTCCTCTGGGACTTACTTGCTCCAGCAGGAAAGTCCTTGATCTGCCCCTTCCCTGTACCAGGTAGGTATCCTTTTGGAGAAGCACTGGTACCACCTGGCTGCACCTTCTGCCCCTTCCCTCCTATCGCTTTGTCTCCACAATGCTGGCAGAATTTCTTCGTGGCTGTAAGGGGAGTAGTAGTGTTCCTGCTGTCCCACTTACTGCTTTCTTAGTTCTCTGGTGTAGAAAGGCCTTCTCTTACAAGGCCAAAGTGGGGAGGATGCCTCCTCCTTTGTAGTGGCCCAGCACTAACATCTAAGGATTTCCTCTTGCAGAAGTTTTCTTCTTTCCTCCTTTCCCATAAGGATGGCCTTATGGGATTCTAAAGCTGGCCAAATCTGCCTCTCTCTTCTGAGCATAAACTGAGCATACATTTCCCACCAAGGGAAACCAAGGGGTAGAAAAGTGAGTATTGGCTCCACGGATGTGACTATTTATTTATTAATGGGTCTTGTATGGCTTCACATAAAGATTCAACGGCTCACAACAATCCATAAAAGATAGCTAAAAACAAAAGTATCCCAAATCTCTCCTTTCTCTAGTTCTCCTTCCTTCTCTGTTCTCATTAAAGTTCTTCCAAGAGAATAGCAACTGTGATCAATTCTAGCATTGAATTAGAATTATCTAACGAAGATTCTTCTTTTGTGTCAGCCCATATCAGAGGTGGGTTCCTACCAGTTTGCACCTATTCAGTAGAACCGGTTCGTCAAATCTACCGAACCGGTTAGAAGAGGGTCCACCGGTGGACC